TGCCCTTTTGTGTGGTCGCAGTCTTCTTTCGTTGTATAGAGGTTGTTTGACCTTATTTTCGCAACTTGATCATATTATTAGAAAGAATTAGAACGCACCTAGTCCGGAGTACATTGTCTGCATGATCATTTCTAAAGTCGAACCGTGGACGTGGTACATTCCCAAACCTTTCGCCGGCATCGTCAGTGAGTATCGCCAACTCGTCGAAGAGACAAGTGGAGCCGATCCTTTGATCAAACGTGTGCTAAACAATTGTGGTATCTCCCCTTCTGCCGTGGGTTATTTGCGTTTCCTGTATCATCCTATCATACCTTCACTGTTACAAATTTTACCGTGTTTATTTAGATATAGTGTGGTATGCACCTTTGAGCGACATGACACCTGTGCACTCATTGTCGTTCTCACCCCCCCTACATCCTTTTTTGGGAATGTACCACGTCTACGGTTCGACTTTGGAAATGATCATGCAGACAATATACTCCGGACTAGGTGCGTTCCTTTAAGTCTTCCTACCAATATGACCAAGTTGCGAAATCAAGGTCAAGCAACCTTTATTAGTAGATAAGTTTGCTCATGGACGTGGTCAATTTAGTAAAGGCTTGACTACGAGATTTACTTCGTTAACATGCGGCACAGCGATAAAGGAATCTGCAGCATCAAGTTAAGTTGCAATGCAAAGTGCGAATCCAGACTTAAGGGGCTTTTTCATTGAAGCTAGTTTATACATGCTATCACAAACTTGAGACAGTGTAGAACAGCGCCTCGAGTAGCACGGATACGGTGGCAGCGATTGAGTGAAATCACTGAAACAGGTGGATAAGAGAAGGATCCTACGAAGCAAGAGGGGGACTGTGATAGTACCCGAAGAGAGTGGATTGCGGATTAAACCGCAGCTATTGATCAATACTGCTAGCAGAGTGGGAGGGATAAGGAAACCAGCGGGGAGTGTGAATAGGTTTAGATAAACAAGAAATTGTGAGATTAAAGGGGTGATACGAGAATATAGGATAGGTGAATAGCCCATTACAGGAGATACATCTACTGTTTAGCACACATTTTGTCAAAGGATCGACTTCACTAGTCTGTTTCACGCGTGTGATACTGACGATGTCAGAGGAACGTCTTGGAATGTACCACGTCCACGGTCCGACTATGTAAAGTATCATGCATTCTATGGACTCCAGACAAGGTGCGTTTCTCTAGGTCTTCCTGCCAATGTAATTAAATTGCGAAAACAAGGTCAAATAGCTTCTATGATATTTAATGCCTACGTGGATATTTTATAGCCCTAAAATGTGCCGACTAAACTATAAAAAAGGAGAAAAAATTGCCTTTAATATAAAAAATCTTAATTAAAATAACATAACTATAAAAGACTGGATTATTTAAAGTTTGCCATTCCATAAGCTAAAAATACAATGTAGATACTTTAGGATCTATTACGAGCCATTTTATACATAACTGGATTTGTAAGTTAATACATACAAAAGACTATTCTAAGTTATTACATAATTGAATGTGTTCAACCAGCTTTTATAAATAATAGAATTAACAACACAAACAAGTAACACAGGTTTCGTTGTTATGGAACCTGGTTACAAATCAGAACAGAGAAGTAAAAGTTTCATTTTAAATATTAAAAATGATATAAAAATCTGGATAACCACTAAATGATAAAAGTTAAAACGAATTCAAATGCAATGTACTTGGGATGCATACAAATAATCTATAATAGCTAACCTATTTGACGAATTTTCTTATAACATAACATCCTAATATCAAGATGCAGATGAATACAGAATGATAAAAGTTTTAATATATTTTATTCACGAGATTTTCTGTAAGAGTGAATAAAGGCAAAACTATTACAAACTCCAAAGTTAAATCATACGAAGTTTGACAACAAAACCAAAGTGCGCAGCCTCGTGCAGAC